ACTTTCTAGTCTGTCATACTGCCCTCCCACAACGTACTACAGAGCTGATACACCACTACTAAGGGCAGAGGCCACAGTGATGGATGCCTACGGCTGCTTTACCAACCTGCACCGGAGAATCCAGGGATTTTCACATTTCCAGTACTTACACCCATTTAAAATATCAAATGAAAAAAATATATCAAGTGAATTTATAGTATATGAAAATAACCACATTTTACAATAAAATCCCTTTGAGAAAATAAGATCAAGTGTACTCTGCTGGCCACTTATTACTATTAGAAAGTCTGAAAGAACCCTAAGCTTGGCGAACGGGTTTCTACCCAAGGCGACATCACTGAAGTCACTGTGAAAAAATAAACAGCTCACTTTTGTCAGCAGAACATGAAACAAAGAACGAAGCTGTGATTCCATCTGAAACACACTACTGAGCAAGCCACTTAAAAACTGCAACACTCGCCAGGCGTTGGTGGCGCACACCTCTAATCCCAGCACTTGGGAGGTAGAGGCAGGCGGATCTCTGTGAGTTCCAGGCCAGCCTGGTCTACAAAGCGAGTTCCAGGACAGCCTCTAAAACAATACAGAGAAACCCTGTCTCGGGAAAAAAAAAAAAAAAAAGCAAACATGCAACACTCAACCAAGTGTAATCCTGAACCACTTTTTTTTATTTATTGTTTTGAGACAGAGGTCCGTGTGGCCCAGGCTGGTCTTGACCCCTCTGCTTCCAGCTCCCAACTCATAGGATTACAGGCTACACCACTGTGCCTGCTAAAGACTTCACATGGAGCTGGAGAGCTCTCAACATTAAGAGCACTGGCTGCTCTCACAGAGAACCTGGGTTCAATTCCCAGCACCTACATGGCAGCTCACACCATCTACAACCCCGGTTCCAGGGGATCCACCGCCCTCTTTTGACCTCTGCAGGCCAGACTGCACATACATGTGGTGCACAGACACACGTGCAGCCAAAACACTCATACATGTAAAATAAAAATAAATCTCTTTTCAAAGAACTTACAGAATAAAAATTAAAAGACTAAGAATCAAAAAAAAAAAAAAAAAAAGGCCGGGCTTAAGTGCCGCACACTTGTAAAATCCTAGAAATTGGGCATCAGGCATGGAAGGTAGAAGGATTAAAAGTTGGAGGCTAGTCTAAGATAACTGGTGAGGTCCTGCCTAAAAAATAATAATAACCAACAAAATGCTTGTTAAAAATTTAGAGCTTGAGAAATGGAGGCTAGGGAGTGTTGTGCATTGTTTTTGCTCTTTTGGCTTCTTGAGAGGCCCGCCACCCAGCTCCCAAGTAAATCACACACAAAGGCTTATTCTTAGCTACGTGCCCGGCCTTAACTTGGCTTGTTTCTAGCCAGCCTTTCTTACCTTTAAATTATCCCATTTTCCTTTTGCCTCTGGCCTTTTCCTGTTCTCTTCTGTAAATCTTACTCTTACTCCATGGATTGCTGTGTGGCCGGGTGGCCGGGTGGCTGGCCCCGATGCCCTCCTCTCCTTGTTCTCTTGCTGCTCTCTATCCTTCTCATCTCTCTTCATATTTCTCCTCTCTGCCTGCCAGCCCCACCCATCCTTGCTCCTGCATCCCTATTGGCCATTCAGCTCATTATTAGACCATCAGGTGTTTTAGACAAGCAAAGAATCACAGCTTCACAGAGTTAAACAAATGCAGCATAAACAAAAGTCACACACCTTAAAATAATATTCTACCACAAGGGAGATGTCTCAGTGGGTAATAACGCTTGTTATTCAAGCATCAGAACCTGAGGGGTGTTGTGTGTGCATGCGTGGTGTACGTGTGTGGTGTATGACGTGGTAGGTCCATGAACATACATGCAAAGTTAAAGCAAGCCAGTGTCTCTCTACGCCTCACTCTCTGAGACAGGGTCTCCCACTGACCTAAGAAACTGCTTATGCCAGTAAACTCCAGCGCTGTGAGACAGATGGAGAGACAGGTGGATTCCAAGAGCTCTCTGGCTGCAACCAGCCTAGGGCAAATGCCAGGCTTCAGTTAGTGAGAGACAGTAAGACGGAAAAAAAGAGAAAGACATCACTTCCTGGTTTGTCCTTTGCCTGTGCGGTGCATGGGTGAGCTCACACCTGCACCTTCACATACATGCAACACACAAACACACTCACACACACTAAACTGAATAATAATTTTTTAAAAAACCTGACAAGGTTAACTACCGCATGCTCCAGAAAAGTATCCCCAATGCACCCATCACCACCACAGCCTGGACTCCAAGGGCCAATGGTTTAGCCCCTCCCTTGTACCCACCTTTATCTCTCTTACCCCTCTATTACTCCATGGCACCTGTTTGCCCAAAATCCAGCTGTCTTTTCTTTTTTTCAGCCCAACCCAGTATCTACTCCAAGCCTGTGTGCCCATGCAGCTGAACACAGCTCTGTGTGTGTGTGTGTGTGCCTGTGTGTGCGTGTGTGTCTGTGTGTGAGAGTGTATATACATGTGTGTCTGTGTGTGAGAGTGTATATACATGTGTGTCTGTGTGTGTGTGTGTGTGTGTGTGTGTGTGTGTGTGTGTGTGTGTGTGTGTGTAACCCAGGCAACAACTTTAGGGAGTCGGTTCCCTCCTTCCCCCTTGTGGGTCCTGGGGACTGAACTGAGGTCATCAGGGTTGGAAGCACGTGCCTTTACCTGCTGAGTCGTCTCTCCAGCCCGTGTTTTGGTTTATTCTTTGTGTCAGAGACCCTCTCCACAGCCCAAGCTGACTTCACACTGTGGTCTTCCTGCCTTGGTGCCCTAGATGCTAGGACTACAGTGTGGCGCCACACCAGCTGCTACTCCCCTGCTGTACACAAATACCATCAACAGCAGCAAAGCCGTTCTGCAACCATCATGTGTTAGGAAAAGCAGCGTAGTCTATGATGAAATCCGCACAGCCAGCCATGAGGGCGCAGAGCCACACAATAAACATACCTGCTTACTGGCTAATGCTTCTTTCTCCGTTTAGCCCTGGCTTCTTTGTCTAATGTCCCTAAAGTTGAGATTCATAAAGTGCTGGATCGTAGACCCTGCTCTGTTCCAGACAAGACCCAACAGAGGGCAAAGCTGGTTCCTCGGAACATTCCAATCTGCTGCGCAGGCTGACTTCCAGCACCAGGCCTTCAATGCTGTCTTCCTGGGATGCTGCACACAATGTGCCCCCTCCCTCTTCTCCCCCAGTGAGCAATGGGGCCCAGCTTGTTAGTTACAGGGGTGTTCTGGTTGTGTGTTGGCAGTGACAGCTGGTCATGACACCAGTACCAGCACAGGCCACTACCCAGGGAGAAGTCACAGGACCTGCTAGAAGTGAGTCAGGATGTAATGTTGACGCTGGTTCCCCTTCCTAACAACTGGGAGGAAAGGCCCAGGCAGTGAAACATCACGGTGAGTGATGATTCAGTTAACCCAAGATGCTCTGCGCAGCTTCCCCCCTGCCCAGGGTGCAGTGGTTCTGGAGGACCGACTGGGGCAGAGCCCGAGACAACACCACTCTAGTACTTTAAGCCACATGTTCAAGCCTAATAAATTAGCCCAGGCTTAAAGAAGTCAAGCTGTACACATGTAAGAATTTTAATAAGCTTGGAAAAAGGCTACCTGGAGCTATGTTCAGCTTACTGTACCAGTGAGAAGCCCTGCCACCAGCCACAGAGTGCTAAGTCAAGCTGTCCAAATGTAAGAATTTTAATAAGCTTGGAAAAGGCTACCTGGGAGCTATGTTCAGCTTACTGTACCAGTGAGGTGCCCTGCCACCAGCAACAGAGTGCTAAGCCCCCGACAGGGGCTGGGGAGCACTCGAGGCAATAGGAACAGGGAGGCGGTTTGCAGGTTTTCTCAGGACTTGGGGACTTACAGCAAATGGCTGGCAGTCAGATGACAGACAAACAGAACAGGGCAGGCAACGCAGCAGAGCCAATGGCGTTTACCAGGAAAACGTGCCAAGGGTTTCGTTGGTGAGAATCTGGTGCTTGCACACCCTTGTAGAAACCAGCAAACACCGTCTACATTGTAATCAATGCCTGTTTGTACTCAGAACCATGTTAGGGACAATAGAGAGCTAAGCAAACATGGTCTCTGACTTCTAGATGCCAACACCTAACATAAATAAAAACACTAAGTCTGTCCAAAGGATTACCAAAGTAACTGAGCAAACACGAGCGAGTCAGAAGCATTTGCCTTACACAAATGAAGTGGAGTCATCATGAAGGCTAAGTCATGGGAGATGACTCTCTGAGCAGGGCGGAGCCCAAACGGAACAGTTACCTGTGAAGGTTGAGTCTGGGGGGGGGGGGAGGCAGACTCTGAGAAAATGCTCAAGGGCTAGATATCAGGCTAGCAATGGGCCAGGACTGGGAAGAGGCACAGCACAGGAGAGGGTCTAGAGGCAAAAACACAACTGTGAGTTTTCTAAGTGCCCTGAAAAAGTAGAGAACACAAGCAGGCTGTTTCTCAACTGGCCTTCTCCATGAAGCCTTTTAATATACAGAAAAACAATCTTATCCTCGTTTAGTGTTATTTAAAATTCAAAAAAGACTAAATATCTTACCCAATCCCAAGTCACAGCTATAGTGGCTTTACAATCTAATATTCAATCTCATTCTCTGTCTCTGTCTGTCTCTCTGTCTCTGCCTGCCTGTCTGTCTGTCTGTCTGTCTGTCTCTCTCTCTCTCTCTCTCTCTCTCTCTCTCTCTCTCCCTTTCTCTCTCAAGCTGGGGGGTCAGGCTAACCGTGAATTCACAATCCTGTCTCAGTTTCTGAAATGCTAGGATTACAGGTGTATGCCGCCACACAAGAAGTAACACAAAATCAACACTTCCCCCAGAGCTAGAACCGCCCGAGTCAGCAGGGACGATCTCTGTCACAGAATTCATGGAGGAGAGGATGTGGATCCTAGTCCACATGGGACCAGACAAGCATTTGTCACAGAAACATAACAGGGCAATGGACAGAAACAGAACCTGACGCATCAGTAATTCCCAGGAATCACCTGATTAAAATTCTTGAAGGTGAACTCTTTGTAGATGGCGTCTCTCTCACTTAATTCCGACCATCCTGCTGCTTTCAGGCCAGAAATAAGTTGGTTCCTCTCCTCGGCTGTCAGCCACTGTGCATCTGAAGACTAGGAAGAAAACACATTTCTTGTCTGAAAAGATAGGCAAACTCTGTGTGGGCTGTCCAAAAGAAAATGGCTGGCGTCCTGGGTCTACTCCAGACTCCAAGATTCAGCATCTCCGGTTTATTACAGCTACGGGTAAGACTGCCATGCCACCGGCCTTTTTAGATGCCACAGATTCCCAGGCTGTGCGGCCAGGCAACACCAGCTCTCTAGGGGAGCAGCCAGAAGGACCAGGACCAGATCCCCGGGCTCTCACTGACCCTGGTCTGCTGCTCTCTGGGTGAGGTCCCAGCACCTCCCGTCTCTGCAGCTCACTCAAGAGGGTTAGACTACGTAGAGAGTCTATTCCCTGTCGAACACAATGAAAACCCCGTTACAAAGGGGGAGCCAAGTGTACATTCCCATGGAACTTCGTATAACCACGTCTAGGGGTCCACAGCCCCTCTACCACAGGCCAAGTCCTTGCCTTGATAACGAGAGCAGCATCGAAACAAGCCCCCTTCACGTGTCTCTGGCCCACCCAGAGCATCCGCAGCGCCGCCTGCTCTGTCCACCTCGCCCCTGCTCTCCAGGGACAGCCACAATTCAGCCCTTTTGCCATTCATTCTGGGCCTTTCTTTGCTAACTAAAATTAAACACCATGGTCACATTTCTAGACTGAACACAGCGTCTCATTCCAGCGTAAGCACCCACGGCCACCTCATGCTTCACCTCCTCGCAGGGTGACTGGAGGCACTGGTGAGACCTTCCCAGCAAGACTCTCCCCCAAAGACGGAGTCAATGCTGAAGGCTCCACACTGTACAAGCAGCTGCAACTCACTCCTACTTCTGGAATCCTCAAACTTTTTATCATAGACATTACTGTTAAGAAGCCACGAACGATAGGTGGTGGTGGCGCACACCTTTAGTACCAGCACTCGGGAGGCAGAGGCAGGTGGATCTCTGTGGGTTCGAGGCCAGCCTGGAATACAGAGCGAGTTCCAGGACAACCTCCAAAGCTACACAGAGAAACCCTGTCTCAAAAAAGCAAAAAAAAAAAAAAAAAAAAAAAAAAAGACCACCCTGCACCAGGGGCTGCAGTCAGCACAGTGAAATGGAGCTGCTTCAGCTATATAACACCAGTGGTCCTGAAAAAAATGTACTCTCAGCAGAACTCCTGGCTTGTTTGTTTTTTTAATTGTGATTTGTTTTCTAAAGATTTATTTACCTTTTATTTGTTTGTTACTTATTTTAGTTTTTCAAGACAGTGTTTCTCTATGTAACAGCGCTGTCTGTACTAGAACTCACTCTGTAGACCAGGCTGGCCTCAGACTCACAGCCATCTGCCTTCCTCTGCCTCCCAAGTGCTGGGATTTAAGGCATGGGTTTATTCCCTTTTATTTTGTGTAAGTGCTTTGCCTGCATGTATATACATGCACCGTGTACATACATGCTGCTAACAGAGGCCAGAAGAGGGCATCAGATTCCCTGCTACTGATGTTTCAGATGGTTGTGAGCATCCTTATTGCAAGAGCAGCAGGTGATGCTAACTGTTAGACTGGCCTTCTGTACAGCCCCCAGCACAGTCCTTTGAAGGAGCCAGGGAATGAGTTTCATAAGAGCTGGGGGAGATGTGAACAAGTACAGAATCTGAGGGGTGTAAACGGTTATCTTTTTACTGCTGGATGCTAAACCTGCCTCTCTGGCTTCCAAGGCCCTTGGGTCTGTGGCAGGGACAGTACAGTATCAAAGTGCCAAGATATTTTTGTTTTTATTGTTGCTTTTATAATTTATTTATTTTTATTTTATGTGCTTTGGTGTTTTGCCTGCAGGTATGTCCGTGTGAAGGTGTCAGATCTTGGAGTTACAGACAGTTGTTGGCTGCCAATATGGGTGCTGGGAATTGAACCCGGGACCTCTGGAAGAGCAGTCGGTTCTCTTAACCACCGAGCCATGTCTCCAGCCCTTGTTTTTAGTTTTTTAAAGACTTAAAGAGATCTTTCAGTGTACACCTTAACCCCAGCACTCGGGAGACAGAGGCAGGCGGATCTACGTGTTTAGGCCAGCCTGGTATACATCCCAATTGTAATATTCAAAGAAAGACTGAGGGAAGGAGGGGAAAGGGAAGCAGAGACCTTGACTGCTGTGGTGGCCACCAGAGACTCTGGCTCAGAGCAGCCATTCAAACCCAGGTGTGTGCTCGCTCCTTCCCAAACACCATAGTAACGTAAGGTCAGCAGCACTTTGGGTAGGGGTATGCCTTGAGACACACCTAATCAAGTTGTATAGAATTTTGAGCTATTACCTTACATGTTACGTATTAAAGAAATTTCACATGCCTGTGTTCTCAGCACTTGCAAGGTGGAAGCAGAAATGTGTTAACGGGCTCTCTCTTGGGCTGCCCACCAGCGCCTGAATCATGACACGGGGACTTATCTAGTTACAAATGCTCAGCCTTAGTGTATGCTTGTCCCCTAGATCTTGCGACTTACTTCAGCTGTTTCTTCGGGCTCCTACCTCTCCTCTATTCTTTATGTCCTGCATTCACCGCTTGCTCTGAGACTGGCGGGTGGCTGGTTCCCAGCATCTCCCCCTTTGTCCTTCATTCTCTCTTCCTTTTCTCCCCTTTTCTCTTCCCCTATTCGCTCTGTGTGCCAGCCTCTCCTAGCCGGCTACTGCCTAGTATTGGCCATTTGGCTTTTTATTAGACCCTCAGAGGCCTTAGGCAGTCAAGGTGAAACAGCAGCACTTTTCTGCATAATTAAATGAAGCATAGACAAATGCAACAAACTTTATACAGTTACAGTAACACTCTGCAACATAAACAAATGTGACGCATCTTTACATAGTAAGAATTCCACAACAGGAATATATCGAGCTCAAGGTCAGCCTCAGCTACATGAGACATACCTCATTAAAAAGAAAATGAAATTCCATTCCTCCTTCCATTGGAAGAAAGGATACAAGTGGGAAGGGTGCATAGAAGAATGTGTTTAGTGTACCTGAACTTCACACACATATACACCTGTGTGAAAAATCATTTTAACTAAATTAAAAGAAACAAATTAGCAAAATGTAAAGACTGGCCCTCGGTTACACCAGGAAAAAAACAAACTCTAAAGTCATTATCGGCAATAATTTTCTGACTTCAACAATTCTACTGTGTGATAAAAGAAAAATTTGTGTTTCAGAAATCCATTATAGAGCTTTTACAGGAATATAAACCATGCCTGTGACTTATTCATGAAAACATTTTCCAAACGGTCGCTAACAGGCTGCTGGAAACGAAAAAGGTGCGCTTCGTGCTACATTTTCCACTAGATGGAGCTGCGTGTTAAAACTTCCCTGGATTTACTCTCCCTCTAACTCAGCCCTCCAAACCCTTCCCTCCCAGACGGTACCGCGGCGCTGCTCACTGGCTTCGCGGTAATCCTCCTGCCTCAGCCTGGCTAGGCGCAGGAATTACAGGCCACAACGCACGGCCAAAACACTAAAGTCTGAAGTAAGAAAACTTAAAATGTCCCCTTTACAAAGTTGAGAAAAATCGATGTGCCGTTCAAAAACGTGGAAGGAAAGGTAATTTACTAATTCCTCCTAAAGCTCACGGGCAAGCCGGCCCCGCTAAGGGGCCACTTAGGGGAGCCTCCCGGGCCGGCCCACTAGCTCACCACTAATCCTCACAGCTAGATTTCTGTTGTTTTTGTTTTGTTTTGTTTTGTTTTTACACCTTGACGGAAGCCGCTCGGGGTGTCCCGTTTTGGGGCAGGTGCCACCACGTAGCCGTGGCTGGCCTCGAACTCACACGCGCCCTCCAGCCTCCGCCTGCCCGTGGCCGGGGCGAGGGCGCGCGCACGGCGCTCCGCCAGGTCTGCGCCCGCAGCCGCCCGCACCCAGCCCCGGCCCGGTCTCCCGCACCGCGCGCTCGCACTCACCATGGCCGCCCGGCTCGCACCCCGGCCGCGCAGCGCCGCCAACCCGCGCAGGAGGCCGCGCGCCCCCGCCGCCATGGCCCGGGCTGCCCGGCGCGCTGCCTGACTCCGCCCCGGCCCCGAAGGCCCCCGGAGCGGGATGGCCGCCGCGCCCGCGGGTGCTCGCGGCAGGCTCGGCTCCCTCGGCCGGGCGAGCAGCCCCGGGCGCTGGCGGGAGCGCGCCGGAGTGCGTGGGGCCACCCCTCCGTGCTCGGCGACCTTCGCAGCTGAGCTCGCCCCTGCACCGGCTGAGTCGCATGCACAGGGGCTCTCCCGGGAGAGCCGAGACCGGCAAGGACCGGCTGAGACAGTTGCCTCCCGGGTACTGAGACGGGTTCTTTTATATGCCGTCTGTGTGTGTATTAGTCTTCATTATCCTTCTGCAGTTTTGTTTTTCTTGAGATGTAATTGACGATAAAATTCACTCGTTAAAATCCGTGGTGTGGGGCCAGGGTTTTAACCCTGTGGTAAGTTTTGGTTAAAGTGTTTCAGTTTTTAGCCGGGCGTTGGTGGCGCACGCCTTTAATCCCAGCACTTGGGAGGCAGAGGCAGGCGGATCTCTGTGAGTTCGAGGCCAGCCTGATCTACAGAGCGAGTTCCAGGACAGCCTCCAAAGCCACAGAGAAACCCTATCTCGAAAAACCAAAAAAAAAAAAAAAAAAAAAAAAAAAAAATTAAAGTGTTTCAGCTTTTAGTTCCGCTTGTATCTTTTGTTGTTTGGCTTGGCTTTGGTTTTCTGAGACAGGGTTTCTGTGTGTTGCCCTGGCTGCCCTGGAACTCACTCTGTAGACCAGGCTGGCCTCCAACTCAGATCCGCCTGCCTCTGTCTCCCAAGTGTGCTACCACAGCCTGCCATCCTTTTGGGTTTTTTTTGTTTTGTTTTGTTTTTTTACTAAGTATTTTGTATTCTTTCTTGAGACAGTTTCCTGGATCCCGAGTACAACATTGCAGAGGCTAGCCTTGAACACCCGTCTGCCTCCACCTTCCAGGAGCTGGAGATTGTGGACATGCGCCAAGCCCAGCTCCGTTATTTTTTTCTAAATTAGCACATTACTGTTATCAGTTTGCCAGACATGGTATCATACACCTTTAATCCCAGAACTCAGGGGCTGAGGCAGACGGATCACTGAGAGTTACAGGCCAGCCTGGGATACACAGGAAGCTGTAGGAGAGCCAGAGGTGTATAATAAGACCTTGTCTCAAAATGTATATTTTCTTATTTTCATCAGTCTTACAGAGAATTTGGCAGAAGGATATATGTACTAAAGAGTTCATTTAAGACTAATTTCACAATTGTTAGCAGTCTTATATCCCAAGTGGTCTTAGAAAAAATAATAAAGCCTCAAAACAGCCGAAAATTTAGACTTCAGTATTGACCTTTTTTTTTTCCTGATTGCCAAGATGTAACAATCTGGGAAAGAAAAACTCCAGGTACTCGGAGGGCACCGGCCCAACAGCACTGACTTGAAGGAACTTGGGTGACAGTGTGGGTTTCTTTAGGTTCGTGCCTAAGGATGAGTGCCAGGGGCAGAATTAAAACAAAAGTCTTATTGCTGGGCAGTGGGGATGCACTCCTTTAATCCCAACACTCAGGAGGCAGAGGCAGAAGGATCTCTGTGAGTTCAAGACCACCCTTGTCTACAAGAGCTAGTTTCAGGACAGCCTCCAAAGCCACAGAGAAACCCTGTCTCAAAAACACCAAAAAAAAAAAAAAAAAAAAAACTCAATAGCCAATAGCTAGAAAGAGGTTAGGCAGGACTTCTGGGGGCAGAGAGGACTCAGAGAAGAACAAAGAGTCTCCTGCCAGACATGGAGAGGAGACAGGAAACACAAGACAGAAGAGAGGTAACGCCACATGGCAGAACATAGATTTAAAATGTGGTGAATTAAGTTATAGAAGCTAGTTGAGACTAGCCTAAGCTAAAGGCCAAGCTTTCACAATAAGTCTTCGTGTTTGTTATGTGAAGCTTTTCCTTTGCTAGCTGCTTTGGTATATCCCCTGCCAGCCGCCTGGGCTCTGCCGCTTTCTAGTCCCCCAAATAAACACACAGGAGGCTATATTAATTATGAAGCTGTTGGCCTTGCTTGTTTCTTACTGGCTAGCTCTGACTTAAATAATTACCCCATAATTGTTAATCTAAGTATGTCTCTTACCGGAGAGGTTTCCGGGCTTCCTACCCCAATGGCGTTACATCTCGACTCTCTGTGTTTCTCCTACCCAGAGTCCTCCTGGACTCCTAGTCCCTCCTATCTAGATTCCCCATTGGCCAGACAGTACTTTATTGGCATAAGACTTCCCCAACATCTCCTCTTTTCTGTTTAAACAAAAAGAAAGGTCTTAACTTTAACATAGTCAAATTGTATATAACAGAACAGTTATCAAGTAAGAACATAGTTACAATATTTTAGCAAGATTTAAAGAAAATATCATCCATCCCATCCTTGTGAGTCCAAAGTCCTATATGTAGCTTATCTTTTATCATAACTAAGGAAAACTATAATTATAACTATCTGTCTTCAACTCTATCAAAAACCACAGAAGGATAATATATAAACACTAGGATTGACAGAGACATCTTACTGCCTGGACAGTCACCCGAAGTTCCTCTGTAACATTGGGGCATCCATCTTCAGCCCATAGGCCACAATGTGTCTGGAACTTCTCAGCAAAGCAGGAAATTTCAAACTGTCCATCTGCATTGACAGTCATCATTCATTTTTCTTTGTCCTGCAGAAAGTCTCGTAGACTCTTCATGAAGCAGGAACCCTGTAAGACTGAGTTCAGCATTCACTTTCCTGTGGGTCCTGCATGTCCAGATTATACAACAACAGTCAAACAGTCTAGGCAAGAGCAGTTTCTTGCCCAAATGGCTAATCTTGCCATGTTGAAAGCAAACTCCATAACAAGTTTCTTCGATGCCCATCTTCCTCTCAGACGTAATTAGTGCTGCCAGGAGCAGACATTTCTCATTGTCAAGAAAAGCCCTAAGCCATTTTAAATGCCATTTTCTGAAGGTCTTTGAGAGGTTTGAAGACTGTTTATCTATCTCAAATATTTTTCTGTATATCTAGAAAACCTAACTTACCTAACTATAAATTCTGTTATAAGTATCTATAGTCTGTATTCAATTGTGCATTACATTTTAAAAGATCAGTATAAGCACAATACTTAATCAAGAGAAGAAATATACATATCACAAAATTGACCTTGAATTTGTGTCAATAAATGAAAAACAATACCCATACCATAATTCCCCTTTTTACCATTAAAAAAGATTGGCTGTGATCACTAGCCAATTATAAACAATCCCATTTAAATGAAAACAAAGATTTATAAACAAGATGGGAATTGGGACGTTGCTCATTCCAAACTGCTTCCTGCTGGAAGGGGGCGCTGTTTATACCATGGGGATCATGACAAAACTCAGAAACCTGTATAAGTCCATATTTTCGGGGTCTGTAAGACTGCATCATCTTCGCTGTTTTGATTGTTGGAACACCTGGTCCACTGCTTCCAGGGGTCTTGGTTCGTCAAACCACAAAAGCCTGGAAGGAATCCTTAGCTTTTCATTTTCTGTAGAAACATAAATAAAAACTCCTTTTCCAAGTAACATATCCTTACACTTAAATTTTGAAGTCAAGGCATTTTTAAAAGATAGAAGTTGGATTAATTCAGCAGCATTTATAATCAAGTGTACTTTAGCAGCAGTTCCTTCCTGAGCAAGCAAAAAACTGAAAAACACAATAGCGTACAGTATCCAGACTTTCTGTGTATTTTCCATCTTTACGTGGCTTATTTATTTATCTATTATTACTTTATTCATTTTACGTTTATTTATTTTTCTTTGAGACAGGATTTCTCTTTGGAAATCTGCCTGCCTCTGCCTCTGGAGTAAATCCTACCGGCATGCGCCACCACAACGCCGGCTTTTCTATTTATTTACCACTTTGTCGTTTCATTTTCTCTCTCAATCTCACATATATTTTTAAACATACTGTAAACCTTTAGAGGTTTTGTTCATCCAAGTCTGACTTTACAGTAAATCTTTATGTTTTTCTGGCCACGTGTCTTATTTGTAAAACCGCGGCTGTTTTAAACTGCCGGTTTTTCGTCAAGATGGCGGGCGTAAGCGTGATTCCAGTTTACCACCTCAGTCCATGCTGACATCCAGCAAAAGCTGCCACTTCCAGCTGTACGTACACACTTTTTAATCGTTAGCAGAGTCTCTTAAAACAACCTTGTTGTTGTTGTTGTTGTTGTTTTTATGCCGAGTCAGGAAGACTCCAGTAAGCGAGCCACGTGAATCTCGGCTTGTGGCTAGCAAAACAGAGCACACCTGAGAAAAATGCTGCTACCAAAATCTGTGCTTCTCTCTGTTCTTCTGTTTCTAAAATTCCTTTAAAGCTTTTGTTGTTTTGCGTGGAAATTCAATCCCACTCCTGACAACCATTCTGTTAAGAGAAGCTTTTCCTTTGCTAGCTGCTTTGACTAGAAAGCGGCAGAGCCCAGGCGGCTGGCAGGGGATAAACCAAAGCGGCTAGCAAAGAAAAAGCTTCACATAACACGTGTTGGCCACCCAAAGGAAAGCCCAACTACAGAATGTGTCACTGTGACTCGGGCTTCAAATGGAGTCACCTCTCCAGTACTGTGTCCCCTTCTCCACATGTGCCTGCATGCCACCATGCTCTGCTGTGATGACGATGGGCTGAGCCTCTGAACTGTCAGTCAGTCCCAACCAAATGCTCTCCTTTCCGAGGTTGCCACAGTCATGGTGTCTCTTCACAGCAATGGAACAGTGACTAAGCCACCTCTCTTGGGGGCTGGAGAGAGAACAGTTAAGAACATTTCACTGGCTGATATTCTAGAGGCACTGGCTCCAAAACCAAACCGGAGTGTGTGTGTGTGTGTGTGTGTGTGTGTGTGTGTGTGTGTGTGTGTGTGTCTTTTTGGCTTTTTGAGACAGTGTTTCTCCGTGTAGCCTTGGTCATTCTGGAACTAGCTCTGTAGACCATGCCTGCCTCTGCCTCCTGAGTGCTGGGATTAAAGGCATATG